ATAGATAGATAGATAGATAGATAGATAGATAGATAGATAGATAGTAAAAAAGGTAGGATGAAAATCTAATCATCATCAACCATCGTCATTTAAATTAAGCAACCAGTGCCTGAGGAGTTATGTGGCAGGGCAAGCTGAGGAATGTGAGGTGAAGCCACAGAACCAACATACTCAGAGACATGTTCCTGCAGTGGGAGTTCACTTCTTCTCCCAATCAACTCTCTGAGTGTTGGGGGCAGCTCCTTGCCTCCTACTTACTTCCTGGCACTTTAGCATAGTGACCTCCTATGTACATTGCCCTGTCCAACTCTGTACTATCTGGTGGCTATGATTGATGGGCTCAATATCTAGGATCTCCCACAACATCCAGGAATATTTAAATAGTATTAAACCAAGGTATTGTGAGAAATATAATTAGTTGGCTGGCTTGAGATTATGGAAGTTGAAGTCCAACATATCTGGAAGGTATCAGAATATGGAAGTCTGTTCTATAATCTCAGTAGAAGGAGTGTAGGGAGGGAGCTTTCTTGGGGCAAAGGAAGGGAGATGGAGAATTCCCCACCCACCTTGAGATACTCAAAAGATTACATGGATAATTATTTATAGGATGCATTTTGGTCTGTGCTTCATTGAAGTCTTCCTAAAGCACTGGCGTGGGATGAATTTATTCCAGATGCCAACAAGAATGCATTGTCAGCACAGTTTGACACTATGTGCTTCTACCCCTTCCTGAGTTACAAGTTTTGGAACTGAGCCCTTTATCTTTCAGATTTCTCCACTTTCATCTTTCAAGTCCTTCTGCTTATATTAAGGTGAGCCAATAACTTTACTTATACTTAGAGCCATTATCTAATAAGGAGCATTGCGCTCTCCATCTCCCCCCGCCTGCCCAACAGAGGCCTCTGGCAGCACTTTCCCAGTTTTAACGTCTTAGAGCAGTATACTGCCGGTTAACCTAAAACTTTTCTTTAAAATTCCCAGATTTGCTTTTCCAGCTCCAGCTGCTGGTATTTATACGTGTATCTTTTTATGATTTTTGGCTCATATATGATTATACAGCCTTTATAAGTTTATGACTTTATGTCTTATGCCTGCATATGCTGGGGTTTTCTTTTGTATCGTTTCCCATGGATATGTGTGCCTATGCACCTCTTTCATTCAGCGGCATAATGTTCTCTGATGTCCAATGTCTGAATATTAGAAGGATTTTATTTTCACAAATTAACGTTCATGGTTTACTCTAAAAATGAGCATGCAGTATCCTGGCAACAGGGATTTTGCTATTAACATTGGATCAATTCTAGTATACAGCACTGCTGTTTCAAAAAGAAAGTCAGTTTCTTCATATCCAGATGCAGAAACCTTCAGAAATAGACCAGCCTGTGCCCCCCAAATTCTTGAGCTCCTCCTCCTCCAGGTTTAATTTCATTAAAAAAAAAAAATCTTCATTGTTATTGTCCATAATGTGCTAAGATTATAGGGCTTGCCCCAAACTTACTTGATTGATTTGATTTATATTCCTCTTTTCCTTCAAAAGCTCAAGATGGCATACATAGACTCCCCCAACCTATTTGCCCTCACAACAACAACAACCCTGTGAGGTAATAACTGGACACTCCCCCACCCCCGCCCCCGGTAAGCTTCTTTGCTTGAGGATAGACAACTTTTGGCTCCCTGAAGCAGAAGCAAATGGAAAACCCATCTCCAGGTATGCTATACCCAATGCCAATGTGGTTACTTTGGTAACTAAGAAAAAAGTTACCAAAAACTACAAGAAAAAAGAAAAAAAAATCTCTTCTTAGCAGTAAAAATACAGCAAGAACAAACAAACTATGTTGCCCTTTCATGATATCCAGAATTTACTGGCTGAAGCAGCTTCCTCACTCCATTACTAAGGCTGGCTGAAATTGCCACGGAACCCCTTGTAAAATAACAATAATAATAAAATAAAAATATCTTGCATGCAACATAATGGCCTTTATTTGCCCTTATAAAAGGAGGCTGGCAGGAGAGTGATTGGCTCTGTAGATCTGAGGAATCTGCATTTAGAAGTCTATCCACAGTTAAATGGACCACTGTCACAACATGCAACAGTGCAATCAAAATGAAGGACATCATAGCATTTCAGCCTGCATTCACAGCTGTATACATTCTTTTTGGATGGCTAATTGATAACACTTTTTAATTCTCTACATTTTTAGAACTCCCATTATTCTAACTAGTAAAACTGGCACCTAAAGCATCATCAGTCCTATCAAAATATATTTCCTGAGAAAATTATGAACATAAATGAGGCTCAAAGGCTTTTCTGAAAGCCTGCAGTGATAGGTTTTAATGAGCCCCAGTTGGTAATGCATTCTAAAGATGTGAGACCATTACAGGAAAGACACTGCCTCTGTAAAGATATATTTAAGCTCCTTGCCTTTACTTCAGCTCTGGGCTCCTGATATTTCAGGAGTATGAATATCTTGGTTTCTGTACATTACATTAATTGTGCATATTGAAATCAAGTGGTTGGCCAGAATGAACTTTTATCAAGGGATTTTTTTGCTCTCACTTTTCCTGGAGCTCTAGTTAATGTGTCATCCTGCTGCCTCCAGAAGTGGAATTACCCCTGGCACTGGGCTGTGTTTTTGGAGTTTGGTTACCTCCCTAAAAAGCCTTTATCTGACAATTACATTATAATGAAAAGCTTTCTTACAGGAGATCCAAGCATGGGGGCATCATAAATCTCTCTTAGCTGTTTAAGTTAATGTTATTTAACCAGCTTGCTTCCCTTAAATGTTGTCATCTGGGGGAACCCAGGAAGCATGCCTTCTCTGTAGTGGCCGCTGCCCTGTGGAGCGCCTTTCCCTCTGTGATCTGGTGGGGCCCCACTCTCCCCTTCACCTTCTGGAAGACTGGGAGAACTGGCTGTTCCTGCAAGCATTGGGGTAAGGTGAGGCTGGAGCTCCTGGAATCAAATGTGGATGTATGGAGGAGTATTTGTTCCTGGGGCGCCAGGAGATTTAGCTATGCCTTTATAGGTTTTGATGTTTTTATTGTTGCTTTGTGAGCTGCCCAAGGTAATGGCATATAAGATGGGTAGTTATCTAGGTCTTTTAAATATACTGTATATATATGTATGTATGTGTGTGTGTGTGTGTGTGTGTGTGTAAAAGAAATAAATTAAGCAAGCTACTCTATGGATAAAGATATCCACAAAAGTTTAATTGTAAACCGCCCAGAGTTGTTCTTTGAGTGAGATGGGTGGTGACTAAATTTGAAATATAAATAAATAAAATAAATAAAAAGATAAGGCAAAAATAAAGATACCGGCAAAAAATCAGCAGGTAATCAACTGCAGGAACTAGAGTCAGAATTACAATGCCCCATTCATTTCAGTGGGTCTACTCTTTAAATATGGCTGTTTTGGAAATAGCCTTCCCAGTTTATGCAGTTAACATGCACTCTATTTAATGGGCCCATCTACTAAATTATGTGGCACCAGGGTTCAAAAAAGAGAAAAGAGAGGGTGCCTGCTTGCTTGGTTGTAACACTGCCATCAATTATGTGAGGTACATAAAAAAGAATCAATGCAATATCTAGTGTATCCTGAAGAAGGCCTTACTTTTTACTAAAAAATAGTAAAAATAGATCCTATCTTCCCATGGCCATAAATATGTTATTTATCCTATATAATAAATGTTCATTTATTAGGAGAATTAATGTTCATTTATTATATAAAATGATCTTGGTTTATTTTTACAAGTCTTCAGATTCATATACTGAGATGTCTTCAGAGTTCCATCATCATGGAATTAATAAAACTCAAAGAAAGAAGAGAGAACTCCTCTTATCAACCAAATTGTCATGGACAAAATTAGATGATGATTTTCCAGCTCCAAAAATAGCAATAGACTGTACTTCTACTCCGCAACTTGGTAAGGAATTCTAAAAGGTATTCAAGATCTCATTATGTTGAAGTAGCTTACAATCTTTGCATAGGAAGTAGTTCAGTATCACTTCTTTCTGCCCCTCTTGAATAAAATCAGAAGTACTGTGCCATGTAGTGGAACTACTACTTCCTTTCTTTTCAGTATTTCCCCATTTATTGGACTGTCTTTGGGGAAAGTAGATACTCTCATACTGTAGGGGTGCCCTTATGCATTGTCTTTGGGGGGGGGTGCCTTCGAGTCAGTCGTGACTCCTGGTGACTGCCTGGACCAGTCCCTGCAGTTTTCCTGGGAACATTTCAGAAGTGTTTTGTCATTGCCTTCTTCTTCCTAGAGCTGAAAGAGATTGGCCCAAAGTCACTCAGCTAGCTTTGTACCTAAGGCGGGACTCCATATCGTCTACATATGAATATATGAATTGTCTACATATGAACAAATAAGACTTCAGACTGTTATTTTAAATGATACACTCATGGACAGCATTGGCAGGAATCAGAGAGACCCACATTCAAAGTCTGTTCAGTCCTAAAGGTCATTGGATAACCTTGCAAATTCATTGTCTCTCAGTCTAACCTACCATGCAAGACTATTGGAGGATAGAATTGCATAAACTGTCCTAAGCTACGTTTTTCAGAACTTTTCATTTGACTGAATATTGAAGGGGAGGAAAGATTTAGAATATGCTGGTCATCATAGAGTTTGCACATATTATCCATTTTAATAAGGAAGAAGAATTACGTTTGCCTCAGATGTTCCAGAACACATTCTACATTTTATCTAAGCGTCTTTGAACTAAGACATAAAGATGGATGTTTTGAGATGATAAAAGATTTTTTACAGTATATGTATTATGAACTGTAGTTGTTACTTGGTTCTTGGACAGCACGGGCTGAAATTCCAGTTGTCTTCTGAAGAACAGAAAAAGACAATGTGAAGCTTGAGAGTCACTATGTGTGTCATAACTTATGCAGTGAAAGCTCATTTTAATGGCCTGATTGGAAGAAGTGGGTCCATTATTCAGGAATGTCCACTGAGTGGTAGGGATTTACATTATTTGCATGATGACATCATCATACCAGTTATGCTAATTGTGTCATTTGTAACATTCTGCATAATTTGTGTGGTGATATCACCATGCAGTGACATCATTACTCAAATGACATAAATCACAGTGGAAATTTGCTCCAGTACATGAGAAGCCCATTGCATCAAGTAATGGGCAAATGAGGTTTCAATGCATGTCACTTATTTATAGCTCTGTATGGACTCCAGTTAATAGTGGAGAACTCCTATTTGCACATCCTGACCTATGGTAGAGGATCATGGTTAAAGTGTTCTGATAATGTTTTGCAATGGATTCAGTTGTTAATTTTCCTTCTTTCCAAATTCTATGTTTACTAGTAACATTATTTACTAACTTACTCATTGCCATGAAGAATATGTCGACATGTTAATTTAAGGTTTTGATTAGTAAAAAGAAAAGAAAATTTCTTATGCACCACTATAGCTCTGAGCTTCTCTAGATGGTTAGTGTTGAGGTAGATGTTTAAAGATATAGTAGCTGTGTCTCAACCTAAGTTATTTCATTATGTTTTCATTATAAGGATAAAAGAAAAGGGAAGAAAAATCTTTTGTCTTGAGCTCCTTGAAAGAAGTTTGGGACAAATAAATAAATAATATTATGTCTTGTCTAATTTTTAGTGGACCACAAGGAAGAAAATCTTTGCAACTGGATGAATTCTGGTTTCTAGTATGTATGAACAATTCTCAATAGGATAAGTATTTTTTTTAACAAAGTCTCATCTGCAAGAATATATGGTATGAATATCGGGAGACTATTGTGTCTCAAGTGCCAGGATATTAAGCATGAGAAAGAATTTCACTGGAATTAATATGCAAAATCAATCACCTAATACAAAGGTTTTCAGTTTGTGGCTTGTGATCCCCAATAGGATCACGAGCAAATTTGAAAGGATCACATTCATTCCTACTCTGCCTGGAATGTGTGGCCTTTAACTGAACTGCTGGTGCTGAACTGGGATGTATATGGGATCTAGTTTCTGGGCTCTCCTTCAAAGACCTTTGCACTTGCAGCAATAGCCCCAACTTGTTCCTGAGTGCTGGCAAAGTGACCCGTCAGTGTGAAGGCATTCTGGCTTAGCCTTATCTTTCCTCTTTTCTGAGAATGGCTTTTCCTGGGCTTCTTCTGATATTGGGAGTCATAGTGAGTGTCAGCTTCAGACATCTCTAGTGCTGCCCATCTCATTAGGAAGCTGTTGCATTCTGAATATTGTGAATGGGTGTGCAGGTTCAGTGCCAGGACTCAGAGTGACACCCTTCCTGCCCACCCAAGAGGAAGCCCAGGAACAGCCTCCCTTGGAAGTGGAGGAAGGTGAGCCTGGGGGAGAGTCACACCAATTCATTATTCATTTTAGGGGATCCCTGTGGTTAAATTTGAGAACCCGTCCTAGTATGTTTAAGGTGTTTCAGATGGGAGAAATCCAGAAATAGAACTGAGGTCACATGGGAAAATAAATGTCATGTGTTTGCAGATTTGATGAGGAGATTGAATATCCAATTCCATCAGTATCAGGTGCCCAGAATCCATGAAGTTATAAACTTACCTCTACCCATTCATCTAACTGATGTGAATCAACTTTTTTTGCCTGCAGATCATTGCACAAACCTTCATGGATTATCTCTCACTGGCTTTTCTCTTTCTCCCATATTTTCACAAACTTTGGTTAGTAAGGGTGTGCAAATTCTTAGACAAGGTGCTTTGGATCACAGCTGAAGCACCTCTTCAGTTCAAGAGGCCACATTTTATTCTGAACTCATGCAAGCTGCTCCCAATTGTCTCTGCATGTGTGTGCAAACATTGCATGCAGAGATAGCCAGGAGTAGCTTCCAAAGAGAGCCAGTTTGGTCTAGTGGTGAAGGCTCCAGGCTAGAAATCAGAAGACTATGAGTTCTAGTCCTGCCTTTGGCATGAAAGTCGGCTGGCTGACTTTGGGCCAGTCACTCTCTTCAGTTCCCTCTTGTTGTGGGGAAAATAGAAGGAGGAAGGAGTATTAGGTATGTTCATCACCTTGGGTTATTTATAAAAATAATACAGGCAGGATTAAAAAAATCAGTCATGTGAGCCCAGAAAGAAAGGAGGCTGAATTACAATTCAGAAAGAGATGCACGTGTGCCCTCCTGCGTGTTCTGAAGCATTCTTTCAAAGGATTTGTATAGCCTTTGTATTAAGGTTTGTGAAAAGTGTGGAAGGGCTGAGACACATGAAAGAGGAAGACAAGTAAAGAAGAGCACCAGTGTCAAGTGTCAACATTTTCAAAAGTCTTTTTCCCTCTTTAATAACTTGTAGCATGTAGTTTTTTTTAATGAAACTTTTATTAATGTGCTGCCTGAATAGTAAAATATTCCAAAATATTATCTAGGTACATGAATGGTAAAAGAAGATATGGAAAAAGTGTATCAGATTAGTGCATGCACTAATGATCTTTTCCATTTGAGAAACTTCTTGTCTTTGAAGGAGTCTTGGCCAGATATGCTTTGTAACTAAATTTGATGCTAGTTCTGGCTACTCATGCTTTTCTCTTGAACAACATCAAATCGCCCCCTTATTTCAACAGCTTAGGAGCAAGCAAAAGACTGCAAGAAAGCAGAGACAAAACAGAAGGTAATTGGATACTTGAACTGTATTATTGGAAATAACTTGGTATAAGGGGGGTACATAGAGTAGGTCAGTGGAGAAAACAATTCTTTACATAAGATTTATACCATTTATTTAATAATAACAATCGTTGAATTATGTATATTTTTAAAATAGATCAGGAACAAGTTCAGACAAATTATTAAATTGATTGTCCAACTAGTTTTATTTCCCATTTATAATTTACATTATTATTAGACTGTTTTCTCTGAAAATGTCTTCAGTGTCCCATTTCTACTTCTCAGAAAATATGTTATTTGATTGGCTGGTGTGGGTCTTCCGGGCTGTGTGGCCGTGGTCTTGAAGTTTTGTTTCCT